AAAGTGTAAGATTATATTTGAACAGCCCCAAAACCACGCTGGTCACACCTGCGCAACGTCAGCGAGAGTTTAAGGACCTGACGCATGTTTCAGGAGACAAACTCTTTTTGTACACCATGCAACCTCCATGCAGTTGTATTTTTTTTTTTTTTTGTAGACATTCACATTCAACTTCTGATTTTGATTTAACAAAACTCATATTGGTTCCTTTTGATTGCAATGAGCATAGCAACAATGTATTCCAATAGTTCTGTGGCATTGTTTTAGCTATACACGTCTTGCAACTTTTCTTGCAACTTTTGCTAATTTTTCTTGCAACTTTTTTAAACTTTTGCTATTTCAATTGCAATTTTCTCTGAGGACAGCTAATTATATGAATGCATGCATAACAGCCAATTTTTCAAAACCAAAAGACCAACCGACTCTACCTACAGCCAGTCTAGTTGGTTGGCATTTGCAAAGAAACCCTCTCCACACACACCTCATGCAATAAATTCAAACTTTTCAAAGCTCACCACCAACTAGAAAATAGAGAAAATGCGTTTCTGAGCACAAAAGCGTACTTACATACTGAAACCCTAAAAAAAATTACTTACTGATTGACAGCTAGGAGAATGACAGTGTTATCCATCTAAGAAGCGAAAACGTTGGATATTCTAAGTGGGAGGGTGAAGGCAAACACAAATGAAATGAAGGTGGTGAACATGGTGAACCCTGAGAACCTTACATCAAAGGTCACACAACAAATTGCTGTCATATGATAATAATTTACATCTTAACCCTATCCTTGCGTCGTGTTTTACTATACAATCCATACGATGTGGGGAACTCTGTGCCACCACTTTCCAAAGAAGAAATTTACTCATTAATCCGATCCGTAAGCTTTGCATAGCTGTCTGTCAAAATGATTTTTAGAGAAATACTGAAAGTTTTAGAGAACTTCATATTAGAATGTATTCTAAAATGTGAAGAATACAACCCTGGGGGTACGGATAGGGTTAAGATATTTAACCCCAGAATTTTATGGTTTGATGTGGTATGATATGTTTAAGTGCGGCCTGATAAGGTATGGCATTGTGTTGTAACTATATGTGATGTTGTACAAAATGGTAAGGCACATATATTATCATATGGTATCACGTCACTGACATGCAAGCACTGCGACAGAGGCTGCGCTTCAAACATAAGAAGAATTAGCCATGAAAGAAGCTGCATGAAGACAACTTTGAGATCATCTTAAGCTAAATTGACCGTCTGCATAGACGACAAGAGTCATACAAGGTATCATAACTGAAAGATATGGGGTGGTATGGTACCATATATGGTAAGGTTCAACACCCATCAACTCTGTAAGGTTATTTATGATTTGCAGCTTCCAGCTTAACAACTAGAAACTCCAGGAAAACCCAAGATCAAGAATGTCCAATTAGGGATTCGAACCAGTTTTTTACAGTCATCCTGTATAACATTAAGTAAGATATCGATGTTCCTTCAATAACTCTTCCTAATGATCTTTTAATTAAAACATGTCTCATATTAAACACTTAAAGATCAACAACTATTGAAATCAATAAAGGTTCACAGCAGTCCCTATTAAAGCAAGTAAAAATGAGAACATTACATGGAGACCGATACCGAAAGACAGACAATGTCAATATTTTGAACAAACAGACAGACGTGATATATTTGAAAAGCAACACCTAATACAGAATAAGCATTATTGCAGACCCACTCACGAACTATAACAACAGCATATGTGTAATTAAATTAATTTTGAAAATTGAAAAAAAAAGATCACGGAGGAGACAAAAGTGATAAAGTATTTTTATTCACTTGCCATTCCAACTTCGCACTATATTGCACATAAAGATTATTTTAGAGTATCTGGTATTAAAGTCTCACACATTTTCATTTTCGCAACCACATTAAGTATGATAGAGAAGGTTCACAATACGCATCACTCTCTCTCTCTTTCTCTCTCATTCCTCCTGCATCTTCTTTCTCCTCAATCCCTTGTTCTCTCACTCTCTCTTGTTTCATGCCCTCCCCTCAGTCTCCCTCTTCCTTTCTCTCTGGTCTTCCCTCTCTCTCAATTCCTTGCTCTCCCTCTCTATTTTTCTGTGTTTCTTCGTCTCTCTCTCCTTGCTCTCTAGCTCTCTCACCCGCTCTCTTGTTCACTCTTTTTTCTCACTTCTTTCTTTCCCTTTCTTCCTCTCTGTGAGCATTGCTCAAATTCATTTCACTCCCACACTTAGCCATCAAATTTTTAAAAAATCCCTTCCATGATAGTCAACATACATATATTTTCAGGTTTTTAAAGTCTTCATGCTCAAGATAACAGCTACAAGATACCAAATGGGCAGTCCCTCTCTCTCCACCCCTCCCCCTTTCTTTCTTCTGTGTTACAGAGATAGTAAATATACATTCTTAGGTAACAAGTCTTCACACTCAATAACTACAACCTCTCCTCTCTCTCTCTCTCTCTCTCTCTCTGTGCCTTCCTCACTCGCTCTTTCTCTTTCTGCCTCTCTCTTCCACTGCCTTTTTCCCCTCCTCTCCCCTTCTTTATCCCCCACACCCTTGTTGAATCAGCCATGACAGAGGTGTGTGGTCATCCCAATCATCAGTTAGCCTGGTCCAGTGTCTCCGTCTGTAGGCGGTGGTAGTCATCGTCAGCCTCGCTGCCCGGGTCCACAACTAGACGCAGACGCTCCAGCACCAGCTGAGAAACCTCGTTAAGATCCGGCTACACAGATGAGAGGGAAAAAAAACAACGACTTAGCACAAGCTCTAAAGAATAGGGTACCACACTGTATTTTTGTATATCCTCAGCATCATTCCATGATCACCCAAATCTATTTCGGGAGGTTTCCACATAAAGCTGTTATTCAAATAAAGACATCAAAGGGAATCTTGGTTCTGATAATTTCCTTTCTAGTTTTTAGTGAAAAAATATCAAAACCCAAGTCTTGGTACTGAGTTGGGCTTTCTCCTTACCTTCAATTTATTCAAAACTTCAAATCATTAATGATTGAGGAGCTTATGGAATAATGCTGACAATATATATTGTTCAAACAAAACCTGAGAAAGTCATATACTGCTAGACACTCAGAGACCAGAACTAATGAGAAAGCCGTGTACACTTGGGCTCACCTGCATGATGTGCAGTCCCTTCAGGGTGAGCACCACCAGGTCAAGCATCCCGTCCCCCATGACATCATCGCAGGTCAGGCCCATCACTGGGTCAGAGAAACGCTTTGTCCACTTCAGTCTACCGTAGGGGATGAAAAATATGAAATAAGGGATTAATGGATTTAACCCCTTCGAGACCTATATGATGCACACAGTTCATATTTTCTTACACGGCCAACGAGCCAAGATGCTGCTGTCATGTATGCCGTTCATCATGCCTTTCGAAGCGCTAGGACCACGATGACGTACGTCATCCGCTATAGATGCTTCTATCAGATGCATTTAGTAAAACTAATCGAATATTCGCATTCGGGAATATTTATTCTGTAGACAGAAAATTTGTCCTCTTAGATATAGTTAGTAGTATTAGCATTCTGGGTCTAATTAAAAGAAACTGATCACTAAATCTAACACTACTCTGTGTCCCTGGAGATCCAAAACTGTGCCCAGTGCAGCACAAACTGACCTTGTGTCATGAAGGGGTTCAGCTGACTCAGTGAGATAGAGATGACATTTTCATCTTTGCCTGTACTCATTCAAGCTTCTTCTGTATAGGTCTAACATTACCTACTATCTTTAAATAAATGGTTTAGAAGGTGGAACACTTAGCTTTGAGGTAAGAGTAAATGAATATCACACACCTACATCTGAAAATAGATGCTTAAAAGTTTTATTCTATATTATGAGGAGGTCATACACCTTCTGCTAGAATGTAGAGGACCTATTAAGTTACAAAAGTAAAATATACATGGAGAAAAATCTGTCATGATAATAAACAAATGAGTAGGCGATTTGGGGAAGAAAGGCAATATTGTGCAGCATTGGTATTTACAGAAGCCACCTAAAGTTTGAATATGATTATCCAAAAAATATGGAAAAAACCTAACTTAAGTTATTGCATAGCTTAACACTTGCTGAAATGCTCAAAGCTATTATACAACAAAATCTTTCAATTAACATAGATAAACAAGGAAAGACAAGATCTGAAAAGGAAGCTTTCTTTCAAAATTGTGCACCATTTTCAACACACTTATTAGTCCCGAGACGTGAAGAAGCTTCATTTCTTCGACCAAAAAGTTAGTAGGATTTTCTGAACCCATATATAGCTCCATTCATAGAATATCAAAATATAGTCAATCCTACACTGACAGCTAACTGTACAAGACAATCACCTGTACAAACCACTTCCCATTTCACCCTAGTGTTTTTAACGTACTTTTTCTGAAGCTTCCAATTTCCAAAAAGGGAAAAAATCTCATTTCTTTCAAGACAACAAGTCTCCTTATGTAGAAAAAAAAAATGTATTAATAATACAAATTCCATGCTGAACTGATCATTCAAATGAGGAAATGCTGTGCACACTGCACATTTCTAGTTCAAGCAAAACTTACCTGTAGCATGGGTACTCTGTCAGTTCTGGTAGGTTGCCACTGGGAAGTGACAATTCAGAGGAAACAAGATGGTCCGGGGTAGCAAAATAGACTGACCGTGGTGAAGCTAAGTTTTCCTGAGACCTGAAGGATGTATATTCAAGACAGATCTCATGAAAAAAACAATGAGAACATTAGAAACATCTTTAACAAAGTAAAAGATATTCAACTTAAATAACAACTAATACACATTGTCTGAAATGTTTTTCCAAGTTAAGAAAGTATAAATTTGAAGGGAATGCAGTCAGTAAAACAGAACATCAAACAGTATCTTTACTGTAACAAATGTATTGCCATCCAAGCCTAAAGCGAATTCAAGTGCATTCTAAAATATTCCATTGGTTAAGCTGACAAGAAATTAGATTGCAGTGCACACAAATTCAAACCCAACAGGGGTCATTTGGGATTTCTTAGACTCTTTAACTGGGCTCGTTTAGATAAAATGAGAAATACTTTTGTGATCTTCCATTAATCCAGCAATACACCCAAAGTCTCTTTCTCTCTCTCTTTCTCTGTTTCTCTTTTGGTCTCCTTCTCCCTCCCTCAGGCATATAACTCTCAAATCACTAGTGAGGAATAGACTTGGGAAATAATGAATTGGAACAAAAACAGACTATCAGGAAAAGGTATGTCTGACCAAAGAAAAGCAGAAAAAAAAAAGGAATTGTGACCAAATCTCCACACCTGACAAGCCGAGCCATCTGGTGGTCTTTGACCAGGCTAGCATCGAGCAGTGCCGAGACTTCATCTGACTTATGTCTGTCGTGGCGGTCAAGCTTGCTCATCCCATCACTACTGTCCAGTGCTGTGGCCATCGATTTGTGGCGCCGTCGATTATCACACTGGTAAAAGGACAGATCAAAAAGACAATTTGCAAGGACAGAACAAAGAAATAAAGTTATAAATGAATGTTGCATTGTAACTATGAATCACACATCTACAGAAAATTTCACCTGCACTCTATCAACGATAATTCAATTCAAACTGCATGCAAAAATATTCCTTAAAAACATTGACAAGTGACCTCCACTGAGCTAAGATTTTTTTTGAGAATATTAATCCCTGCCCTCTCCACAGACATTCACCAGTTGAAAGCATTGATGCACACAAAAAATCCTACTCTATAAGAATCATAGTTCTCTTGTCTTTCCTTAATAAAATCAAACTGGCATCTATGAGAAATAATCACAACAGCAGAGACTCACCTGATCAAACGATGAGTCACCCCTCACTGGCTTCTCTGAGTCGCTGGGTGGGGTCGGAGTGTGTTTAATGCCAATTGGCATGGGCGATTGGAATGGTGTGGATGTCATCAGCATAGAATGAGGTTGATATTGGACAAACTTGTAAGCCAACAAAACCTGCAGTGGGAATAAGCATAAGACGATGAAAGAAAAATAATGACCAGAAAGAAATAAGTCTATTGAGACCACGTTTCTCCATTCCCAATTAGCACGACAGAACACTGCATTTTGTGTTGTTTGGGGAAAAGATATTTTTAGATTTTAGTTTTAGTAAGAGTTTTACGGCACTTGCAACACTATAAAGTCAAATAAGTGCTAAAGATTAGATGTGTTACAAGAGAGTAACAAATACAAAGAAGAAGGAGAAGAAATCAGGACAATAGGTGTTTCATAGGAAAAAAGGAGCAAACCACATCAGAGCCCCACCAACCACCTACAAAAGTTATGTAAGCAGCCCCAAATAAAGGTATAAGTGAACATAATGTCAATGTATTCCTAATCAGCCAGTTAATCATGAATAAAAAACATTAGCTTAAAAACCTATTTTTCTGTCAGGCTATGATACAGAAGGTGCTATTTCTTAAAACATCTTTTATTTTTTGATAAGTGTTTTACAGCTCTCGCAACTGAAAAAGATCATATGAGAGCGAGGACACATTAAACATTCTCAGTTGGTAGGAAATTTTTAATTTTGCCCGGGGGGCGGCCAAAGCCTTCTTTTATCAATTTTATATCACCAAGTGATTTTTAGCGTGTGCAACTTGCACACGGTACCTCCTAGATCTTTTGCCCTTGTCCGTCGCTACCTGGATTGGAACCCGGGGCGAACACCTTAACCTCTGGCCACGAGAGCCCCAAAACACTTTTTCATGCTCTACCACAAAATATGGACGAAAAACTGTATCCAATGCAATGGCAAAGGAAAACAGAAAATAAATAGATTATGTTAACATCAGCATGATCAAAAGGGGTTCACTGCAGGAAACAATACTAAATTTTGCTCATACAAATTTGCCACCCCTTCCATTTCCTTCCAACTTTCTGGAAAGAAAAAGAAAAGAAAAGAAAATAAACTATAAGCACGACCAGCCAGATAAGACCAGAGTAGATAGAGTACACCATTTGGGAAAGTGTCTGCCTTAGTGATGTCAGCGTATTGTCATTAAATATGTCAATTATTGTCCTTGGTCTCATTTTTTTTTCTCTTTATAAGTGTCACATTCTATTGACTTTTTGCAAACAATTACCACTGTTTTGAGTTTGGATTTTCTTTCATTAAAAGCAATCAATTTTTAAAATTGTATGGGACACGACATTTTGTCATTTCACAGATGCAGCAAAATGTCATTCATCTTATTCAGAAACAAGGCTAAGAAAAAGTTTTCAGCAAGGAGGCAAAAAAATTATTTGGGCCCCGCTCAAATTAAAACTTCATACCCACACTACAGAATGTTAGATTACGTTTGCAGGGAGGGAGAGAGAGAGAGAGAGAGAGAGAGAGAGAGAGAGAGAGAGAGAGAGAGAGAGAGAGAGAGATATCTGCAAAACATTTTGTCCACCAGAAAAAAGAAATAAGCCTGACCAAAGGCATGCTACACTGAACAAAGAATACACATCAATAATTACTGGTTTCATGCAGTCATCTGTCACAGTAACCACCGCTACGTACAGAAGATTGACCTACCTGACCGTAGGTACCAATAAGTATCTCATTCTCGCCATCAAAGTCAATGTCGATGACACAGGAGCATAGAACAACATCCTGGCTATTGCTGTAGGGCAGGTGGTGAACTTGGGACAACCCACAGCACACAACATCCCTAATAAGACATGAAGAAGAAAAAGACAGGCCCGTTATATTATTATCAATGATTTCTCTTTTCTCCTGAAGGACTGCGAGGTATAAAAATGACATTAAGAAAATTATTATTATAGTCATGGGAGGAACTTCTTCCAGGACTCCTGCAGTGCCTGCCTTGAAAGAAAAGGTCTGAGATCGTCATAGGTCTCGAAATTTACAACCAATTATCTTGAACTGCTGGTCAGGGCAACTTTTTGGTGTCTACTATTCTGGAGTGTATCCATATCTAGTATTATGGCGGAAAACCAAACAGGAGCCAGTTGACATGGACAACAACAAAAGAAGATGGCGGTGGATTCTACATACATTTAGAATGTCAGTCCATTATGTGACATGATAAGGCCCAAGATAGAATCCCAAGAGGAAGAAGAAGAGCGGAAAGCTGAGGTTCACATGGAAATGAGAACTACAGGCAGATCTCAGGCGTATGGCAGGACAGAGACAGGTGAGAGACCTTCTTGGGGGATATACCTAATTCCAGGGTGAAAGAGGCAGATGATCAAGACAATAATGATGCCACGAAATCAAGTTTTAAAAACAGTAAAAAAGCGAAGGGTGGGAGGTGGGAGTGGGAAGTGCAAAGGTACATCAGAGAAATTTCATCTTGAATAACATTATGTCAAAACAGCCTGCTTCAGATGGTATGCGTATGAAACAAGTTTGAAAAAAAAAAAAAGAAAAGTTATCTCACTACCAGCTTTAGGGCTTACCAGAAAACAACTGAAGGGTCAATAGCAGACGTCACCAATAGGTTGATAGCCTCAGGTTCCTCCTCTTTCTCATCAGGGATGGCTAAATCTTCAGAAAGTCAGAAAATTCGCTGATTAATATGAGAAATCATTTTAAAGCAAAGAATATGCTTGGCAAAACAAAACAAAAAAAACACCAAAACCCCAAACAAACAAGGTCTTTCCAAAACAGCAAAAAAATAAATAATATAATGGATTTCAGTAGTTGTTCAAAACAGCTAATTTTGTTCCACCACCCAACACTCTCAGCATATTACACAGGAAAAAGGCGGTCAGTGGTACTGATCTCTGTTCAGACAAGTGGGTATCAGCACACAGCACCAACTACATAAAAACTAATAACACAAACCATTCATGACCCTGAGGTGATATTTTCACAGAAGAAAGGGTGAGGGGGGAGGTGGGGGTGCTTGGACCTTCGGGAAGGGGGGGGGGGGGATAAAGAGGGGTGTACAGCCCCATGGATGCATGATGATTGAAAATCCTTGTTCTTCGACCAAATAACCAAAAATGTTCAACCCTGTTTCAGGCCTTGTTCGATATTTGCATAGATTTAATGCCCTACAATGATTGATGGAAGAGGGGAAAATAAACCACAGACACGATGCATCAAAGTAAATATCACATACATACATACATTTGAGCAAACATTTTTATTCACCTTGTTATAAATATGAAGAGATTCTATTTCCCTGCCTTTGTTGTAGTACGACAAACATCCAATCCAAAGGTGTTTCTATTCATTCTGCACACTAAATTATTCATTCCTGAAGAAACAGGCTTTAATTTTTGTCATGCTTTGAGAGCCAGTTCAGAATTTCAATCAACACCAGCCTGAGACACAAAAGAAACTTAATTACCAAAAGCTTTATGAATACAAATCAAGAGTTCAGGGCACATGCACTTACGCTTTCAATTCATAGGTCTGGAAACATAATATATTACATCAAATATTTTTTTAACACATAAAAATGCAATACGCTAAAATTCTGTTCAGATTTTAACTGAAGAAAAACTAACATGGAATCTTCAGAAATAGGCAAAAGCAAGCTGGAATATATCCTTACCTTGTTTGTCCAGAAACTCTGGACATGGCGCCCTTGTGGATAAGGTAAAGAGCTGTAGGCTTGTGATGGGACTGTCCAGTTCAGTTGTCCAGCGCTTAAGGATCTCTGTGGAAGTTCACCAACAGGTAGAAAAGAAATAAATGAAATACGGTACTTGATGCAAACAAGCTGCAAAGAAAGAGACAGTACCTAGAAATCATCTGATAAGAAGATGAAGGCTAATGAAGAAGTGATTTCTTTTTACTGAAAGAACCAAGAGACTGAAATCTTCATTTCAACAACAATAACGAGTCACATGCAATGACAGATAGTTATTTACGATAGCCAACCACTCGGGGTGTCTTTACTACTGTTCTAACTGACTTGGGAAGCTTACAATGAAGTCTACAAACAAAGGAAAAATTATATGCAAGCAAAGACAAAAACATTTGCGCTATCCAGGAATAGAGTCATCAACCAAAAATCAACACTAGTGTTAAATTTGCAGATTTTCAATTGATGGTATTTTCTTCAAGTTTGACACTTCTTTATTATTGTATACAAATAAACTGTACAAATATTTGCTGCGCAAATAAGAAAACAAAAAAAAGCCAAAAGAATTAGAGCCAAGTCTTTTGTGTGCAACAGCCAAGAGCCGAACCACCACACCAAATGCACCGGTGTATCTTGACAGATATCAAACAATAACAAAGCCAAAAACCAAACAAATGACAATCTTTTGTCTCTGGGACATCTGATGAGCTACAGCTGTTGCCTCCTCACCTTCTGTCTAGATTTGTTGTCTCACCTCACCTTTTGCCTTGATATATATGTCTTCATACCTTTTGTCTTGTCTACACACCTTTTATCTTGACTAGTCTACTCACCTTTTGCCTTGGTTTGTCTTCTCACCTTTTGTCTTGTCTACTCACCTTTTGTCTTGATGTTGACGTGTGTGAGTGACACCAGGCCAGTCTGCAACCCTAGGGCTGTCAGTCGTTCCTCATCATTGACCTGCATCAGCTCCATCTGGGTCACACTGCACAATGCACAAATATTTACATACATAAACCATGGTCTATACATGTTATGAACTCAAACTAAGTCATACATAAACATATACATATGTATGTGATGCAACTCGATGTAATCAGGCGCTCGTCAATTTTTTGGCATATGGAGTTATTGGTATCATCTGAAAGCTGTTTCATTTGCCTTGCTTCATATGAAATAAATATCCATCTATCTTGAATAGAACTCAGGATATTTGTGATTGAAGGATAAGAGGTCACCTGTTTTTCAGGGGTGAAATAAGTGGGAAAATGGCAGTCAAAGTTTGGTAACTCAATAGCAACAAAGTCCTTGAAAATAGAAAAATGACATATTTTGTGCCTTTAATCAATGTTTTTTCAGTAAAATTCATATGGAAATGTGTTATTATATGGACGGAAAAGAGGTTAAGCCAAATAATGTAAATTAGATAAAGATTTCCAAACTGGCGGAAAAATGCCGGATTCTCCGATTTCGTTATTTTGACGAGCGTCTGATTTCACCATGATGCCACACATCTATATCATGGTCTATAAACGTCATGAACTCAAACTAGGTAGTATGTCACGCACAAACATTAACATACATAAACCATGGTCCAAACACATTATGAACTCAAACAAGATAACATAAAACCAGGATTTTCAAACAAAGTATTCATAATGACCCATTCTAAAGTCAAAAGGACCAGCACCAACTTATTATTTCAGCTGTACCACTAGATGATTCACTCCCTTTAAAAAGTGTCTTTCACAATCTGTATGCAAAAATAAAGTGTTTGGTAGATTTCACAAAAAAGCTTTTAACTACCAATCTTCGATCTGACAATTTCTTTACAAGTGTTAACAACAAAAATAAGTGATGCTGAATAGTATAGCAATTGCCATTTGTATTAATGAGACTTGTTTTGTTTTTTTCGCATCTTAAATGAAGCAGTGAATAACCCAGTATTATACTATCTTAGGTCGTACTTAACATGAATGGACCACTAAGGAAGAAGTTACCTACCCTCCATCGATCTTGGCAAATTCAGGGAAAAACTTGTCAACTGCTTCTTGCTCCTCGTAAAAGGACTCACTCTCAGCAGACTGTAATAGAGTGCAGGACCAGAGACTTTACTTTAGATTCTTAAAATAACTTTCATAGACTGAATATGTTCCATTTTGTTTGTTTTAGTAAACAGAAACACAATCACAAAGACACATATACCGTCAAAAGCAACAAAAGGAAAGAAAATAAATTGGACTTACCAGCGTCACCACTCAAACAACCAAAATATATTCATAAATAAGCTATATTAAGTACAGACCAATGCACATTGCCAGCGCTACTAGTTTTGTGTTAAAAAAGGTATTCAGAGATAAAAAGAAACACAAACTTACTTCTTACAGTTTCTCCTAAAGACATAAAAGATTAAAGATTTTATAAGTTGTTGGAATGGAAAAGACAGAACATAAGAAAGTTGAGTTCCACAAATTTAAAGATACTAAACTGAACTTGCGCATCTCTCACTTAGGTGTTGGACCTGCGGCGTCTGGTTAATGGTTTCAAAAAATTGATTTGAACCTTCAGCTCCTTCACATACCATCTAAAATCCATCTCAAAGAGGAGGACACAATTGAAAAAAATCCGATGCAAGGACAACTTAACTGTTGTGAAACAATACGAAAAGGAACTTCCATTTACACAAAATTTGTAGAAATAAAAACAAAGAAATGTTCTTCCTCCATCTTTCTTTCCCCAACTTTCTCTTCCGTGTTTGCTCAATATGTAAGGCCTGCTGGCAAAATGAGTTACTTCTCGCAATCCACAAATGCCGAAAAATCGACACAAGGGTCAAATTTGTAGACTTTTCTATTGAGGCTTTTACTTTAAGTATAACATGCATTTCATTATTTCATTCTTATAAATTGTAAAAACTTCACATGAGGTATCTATTTCCATATACTTCACTTATGGAAAATGCATGAGTTTAAAAGGTATAAAGTCCAGATTCAAGCTCCGTACTTGAGACACCAGAAAAGAAAAATACTAACATTAAAAATGCTTCCACACATGCTCAGATCCGATAAGTAACTCAGTTTGTCAGCACGCTTCACATATATAGCTCTATTTCACTTTCTCCCGTCTCTTATACTTTTTCCTATCCATAATTCGCCACAAATTTTTATATTCTTAGTAAAAGACTACTGCCAAGCACTTCATTTGTCCACTATGAACATTACCTGTCTATAGACATGAACTTTGTGGTCACCTCCACCAAGAAGAAAGCACATTTCTTTACTGCCATCATCCTTGTAGATCCTGTAAAAAGGTATGTGCAAAAAGGTCAAAATGAAAATGATAGAACTGTGCTAGGAGGCACGAATGAGGGGGAGTTTTTAAATCAAATAAAACTTCATACATGCTATGATTATTATAAGATAGATACATCCTGGCATATCATAACTATATTCCACTTTGCACCTACAATTTTGTACAGTCTCTGTTACATAATCAATTTAAACAAACACTTTGCAAGTATATAAATCTTAAAGTTATAGAAAGACAGGATATATCAAACTGAACTAAAAACTAAGAATACAAAAACTTACCTAGTTGTAATTAATGAAATATCTCAACACACTGAGAGAAATACTCTTTTTTAAAGGATATCAAGCAGCTCATACATCTTTTAAAGGCGACTAACAATCTAAGTGAAAGATGGCTATTGCACCTCTGTGAGGCAGCCCACAATTTCTTTTTCTGCCACCTGGCTTGCTTTATTCAATACAATACACCATCCTCCCATAAGAACAAAGACAAAAATGAATGCTTTGATGGAAGCCACACACATCTCATCACTTACGGAAAATGCATGAGTTTAAAAGGTATAAAGTCCAGATTCAAGCTCTGTACTTGAGACACTGGAAGAGAAAAATACTAACATTAATTAGTATCCATCGTAAAGGAGAAAAAAACTGAAACAAAATCATTTTTTAGATCATTGATAACAAATATGCTTCCTCATGTGCTGTATATATCACATGTGCTGTCTCTTTATAAAATATTGATTTCTGGACATATCAGTTGTACTACAGCACATGAACACACCTATTCAATAGGTCCCTGGTTCGAAACCTGAGAGCGATGGAAAATTTCCTTCTCTAAAACTTTCTCCTTTCACCTCCTTTCCTGCTCTAACCATATTCTGTCATCTGCTTTTGTCTCCACTTTCTGCCCCCTCCCCCTTTTGACCCTCCTCTGGGCTCCTGACTCTTTCTGCAGCCTTTCTACTGCTACTCCTTGGCTCCTTCTTACTGATGTCTTTCAGCCATACCCCTGATCTGATGTTATGGTAGGTAAGATCCGATCCCTAGCCCTCTCTGATAGAAGCAAAAAATCTACGAGATCCTGTGTGCAAGTTGCGCATGTTAAAGATCCCTTGGTGGTCCTAAAATTGATAATAATAGGTTTCAACCGCCACCCGAGCAAAATTCTAAATTAATTCCTAAAAAACTGAAAAAGTTCATTGTGTCCAGTGCGCTCATGACCTTACGCAGTTGTGAGCACCGTAAAACACTTACAAAACAAACAAACACATTGTGACGCATACACAGGAAAAAAGGCAGAAGCACTATTGCATCACAACAGACAATGCTTCTTATACCGTATTGGTCGATATTTCAAGTTCTGTGATCTTTATTATTTAGATATTCATGCAACATTTGGATATCAAACCTAAGGATTTCTTTTATAGGTTACGTTTGAAAAAAAAAAGTATTTATTTATAATCCAAAATTTATTCAACAGTGCAAAACGGCTTCTCACAGGGAACTGCATCTATGATGTTCAGGTATGGTCCATCTGGTTCTTTCTCTGGCAGAAAGTAGATATTCATATGCGGACTTGGGGACTTCTGTTCAAAATGTGACGCAAGCTGAGGAATTGAGTGAGAAAAAGAAAATAAATAATTTTTTTTTTTAAGAAAAAGGTAGGCTAGCTTAACAGTTAATTCTAAAGATTTGGAGAAAATAGTATGTTCACCGGAAAACACTGGTACAGCCAGTCAAAAGAAACTGGCAGAGTTAAAGCCTCATAATATTCATGAAAACAATGTCAATTTCAGCGTCAGTAGAAACATTTTACCAGACCTTCATAATCCATATAAGCTGGGTCATATGATAATAAATCAATTGAGAATTTCAGATTTTTCAACAGCTTGCACCTTGTGAACAGTATCTCTAGCAGTAGGAAAAACAAAGTAAATTAAATCGCTATTTCCACTTAAAATAAGTTAAAAAGCATTTTAATAACCAGTTAATTATAGAAAGTATTTAAAACATGAAAATTACAAAATGGTGGTAAAAACTTGTTACCAGTAGATATGTGATAGCCAGTATGATTCTCTCCTTTCCATCAGAGTTACAGATCACATCAACTGACACAATTTCAAACACTTCTGTGCCTCCTGCCAGAAGAAAACAATATATAATACTATCATAAAATTGAAAACTCTGCAACTGCAGAAGGATGCAGATTCAATAGAATTGAACTGAAATTTTTTTTGGAAATTTTAATTTTTGTTTCATCAACTGTCTGTTTCTTCTTGCGCTTCTTTGAGGGTACTGCCGGTTTGTACTGATTTTCTATTAATTAAACAGTTCAGGGCACATGTCATCATATACGCTTTTGTTGAGTGTAAGTAAACAGCGCAGCAAAATAGAATTACAGCAAGAAAAAGTAAACGTCTTTTCAAAACATTAAAAATTAAACATCACAATAAGAGACAGACAAAGAAATGAAGATATTCGATAAAAGGACAACAACGATGTTCTAAAGTTTGGAAGTGCAAGACGGACAAAAAACACAATAAAGATTTATTTCCATTACTTTTAAGGCGATGGGGCAAAAATGGCAAATTTTAACTTCAATTAAAAATCACCAACTCAAAGACGCATAGAATATAGTACCAATGATATTGCCAACCTAGGGTACCCTACAGTTAGAATTTGTACAATTTTTTAAAGCCAGTGGCATTTCTCCGGCATCATGATGCTGGTCAATAGATCGATGGCTATTCTTTGGTGTCACGAACACATATAGCTGCACATGTCACTTGTCCACAGCTTTCCATCTCCCACGTCGGCAAGTTGTAGGAATTATTGTTACGACTGAAGTCAGTGCCAGATGCACCTTTTTGTAGATCTACTTCTGGGTGCGACTGAGGGTTGTTAAATTGGCGCTTTTTCAATTTTGGCAGCTGTCGCCTCTGACACAAAAAATTCCTCCGTCTTCTGTCACTGGAGCTTTCATTGAATAGAAAGATCTAGTGGCTGCGTGTCCACCTATGGTGAATCGCATTTTGATGAAATGATGACCCTGATGAGTGTTTGTGTAAAGCCATAACATGCCGACAGGGGAGATGGAAAGCTGTGGAGAAGCGACATGTGCAATTACAAACCCTACCTGACGCCGGAGAAAAGCCATCAATCTATTGATCGGCGCGACTCCGGAGAATAGCCACTTGCTTTTTTAGGAAGAGTTCCGCAGAGGGCCGGAGGACCAACAACATCTGGAGCTTTTTCTGTAGTTCCCATCCCCCTTATTTGAGCCTAGATCTAGACTCTAGATCTACATCTGGATCTATATGTTTGATGCGCAGCGAGTTAAGATATCAAAACTAAAAACGGCAAAACATCAAATTATGGTAAAATCAGGGTTGCATGCCCCCCTGAAACCCCCCACCTTTTTTATTAGGTCAGGGGGGCAAGCTTGCCCCCCTGGAACCCCCCTACTCTTGGGACCAAAACCTGCGAATAACAATTGCGGGGTGGGAACTACCGAAAAAGCCCCAACAAACCTAACAACTGCAAAACATCAAATTATGGTAAAATAAGGGGGACATGCCCCCCTGAAACCCCCCACCTTATTTTTATTCCCCCAGACACTTGGGACCAAAACCCGCGAATAACAATGGCGGGGTGGGAACTACTGAAAAAGCAAACATCTAACTAACCCTCTCCCTTCTAACTCTGTGTAGTTTGCTCAGTGGACATTGTCACGGTAAGCGCCGGCCCTCCGCGGAATTCCTCCCTATAGTGTAATTTACTGTCATTCAACATACCAGCAGGTCCTGAGTGAGGACCTGAACTGAAGAAAACATCTTCCCGAGTTATTGGGATTAACCTGTTGGAAGACTTCTGATATTCTACGGATACGAAGTGACCATTGATAGACGCAGCTAACAATTTGGTTAGACCTTCCTTTGACGTTATTTTTGTTAATCCATACACGTTAGTCTGGGCTCTTAAGCCACAGAAATGAGCATCAGTCCAATACAAAGGTTTTAGTGGTTTTGAAGCCATTTCTTCGTCGTTTGCACCAGAACATACGCAACAAGGCACTGTAATTCTCTGTAAGGCACAGAAACAGAGCAATTGAAAAACTCAACCCTGGCTCATGAAAAGCGAAAGTAGCATAATAAAGATTTCAGAGTGCATTCCCTTCATTGAGTTTTATCATAGCCATAGACTTATATTTTGAACATACTAGACTATAAATTTTACATACTTCCAGGTTTACTCTGGAGAGCACATTCTGATTCCATAAGTGGAAATATTAAAAGGTAATAAGGAGGGAAAAGTTGAATAAAAACTCGAATATGGCGAGGCTGGTTTTTCCCTCCTTTTGGGTGTCCATGGTGCATAACAGGACAACATTTTTTTATATTTTTTATTTTTTTAAAAGAAAAGGAGAAGAGTAGCGGCGATGTCAGTAGGCCTACATGATCAAGGATTAGGGTATAATTCAAATAGTGTTGGATATTTAACTAAAACCAATCCATTTTAGCTTCAGATTTCTTGTCAATTATTTTCTTTTTGATTTATTGTTTTGAATTTATTACACTTTTATTTGTTTTATCAGTCATTTGGTTAGTGAGAATAAGTCTGCACACACACTTCAAAGTTGAAGTGAAAATGAAATATTTTTTAAATTATCAAAATGTAGCAAACTCTTATTTCTACCTGAATTGGTTTCATGTAGGCCACAGCAGAAGCCACGCATAATTGTAATCCTTATTCAGATTGTATGTATGTATAGTATAAGGTTTTACGGCGCTCGCAACTGCTGTTCAGATTAGTGCACAACCAAAACGAAAGTCAATAAACATACTTAATGTTTATAATGGTACTGTACAACAATAGACTCAACTGTCATCCAGCAGCATTTCATACCAAAACACTTTAACACACATTGTTAGTACACACGCACATGTCTCAGTATGTGTCAGAGTCGGTTGAATGCATGGCCAGCACACGTGTGACTACTGTGTATGCAAGTGTATAGGTGGAGGAGGTCACAGTCCGGGGGTGGAACATCAGTTAAGATACAAACACATCATATTTTTTTCCCAGGCTACTGATCAACGCTACAATAAGCTAGTCTTGACACAAATCTACGTAATGAATTGCGTGCTGGACTGTGGAATCAAAAGTTACCATATCTGCACAACAACATATTATCTTGTTCTGCAAACAGTGTCGTTATAGATGATAGATGAGACAGGCGGGCATGTGAACAAACTGGCCCTTTTTCAAAGTGTGTGTTTGATAGAGTTCAGTGTATTTTCTTGGTATGGATCAAAGAAACGAGTATATGTCTCTCTCATTTGAAACCAATCTACTAATTTGGATTGAGAAAATCGAAAACGTTGTAGTGTCTGTAATTATCGCTACAAAACCTCATATGTTTGCGATAACAATTTCTTGGATTCAACTAAATTGAATGTCAGGCCCAACGACTTCGTTGAATCCGAGTTCCACTGTAAGAATAATATTATGTTAGGCCTATATTGAAGTTATATTACTGTCTCGTGTCCTTGGAGGTATTGATGAGACAGCTATAGGATCAGGATGTCCGAGCTGAGGTGCACAGCGTTGGCTTTTTGAGCTAGCATTTCTATTTCTCTGTCTATGGACCGTTTCTAGAAAAAGTGCTGCCAAGATATTTAAACTCCTTCAACTGTTTCAGTTGTTTACTGTTGACATGAATGTAGCTCGGCTCACTTTCATAACTTCTGTTTTTGATGTGCTTATATTTTCATGTCAAATATTTTTCAGCTGTTGTTCAGTTCGGTATATATATAGTGCTTTTGGAGGCTTTGTTGGTTTTGATGAGTAAGACATTGGTCGTCCGCAAATTATAATTAGTAGTCGTTTAGGGTCTTTCTCATTCTTGTCTTTAGCTTGCGTTATTGAAAACCGAAAGCTATATAGGCCCTATATAACCTAAAGTCGATGAAATATAAAAAATATTTTTTTAGTCAACAATCTATATTCGTGATGGTTTATCTTCAAAAACTATCACGACAGGCGATATCGACAGGAGGCTGTACTGTACGTTGCACCATTTGGCACCATTTTGAGATTTTCCAAAGTCCTAATAACAGGAATCTCCCCATAGGCCTATCTCTGTCTACTCACCAAAATTTAAAAACTAGGCTAATCGCTCGAAGGATAACAACAAAACAAATTGTGCCATTGTTTTGATCTGTAAAGTCAAAGTAAAATCAACTCATCAATCATGTACGCAACTGGAGGAAGGGGTACAGAACGTTTCATTTCAAAGGAAATTCAAGAAAGACTTGGAGTTAAGGAGAAAAATGTAGGTATCATGTATGACTAGACTAGAAGATTTAGATCTAGATCAGATCTAGATCTAGATCTCTAGATTAGATCTCTAGATATAGATATCCAGATATAGATATGATAATATGTGTCCCTGCCAGTCAATATCAGGCATATGAAGGAAATTTCAAAACTGAGTTAACATTATTTTAGCGAAGTGGCTAGCCGTACTTACTGCCAGTCTAGCCGTACTTAGATCTAAGTTTGGCCCTATCGACTCAAAAGCCTGTTTAGTACACAGGTCTCATTAGATCTAGATCTAGTAATTATTCAGGTTAAAATACATGCAAGTCAGTAAGTCACCTTTTAGTTTTGTCATTGTCTGAAATACAAATACTTTAGAAGGCATTGCAAACTAAAAATTTCATTTACAATTCAGCCATCAATATTAAGTACGGCTAGCCTGACAGTCTAGCCGTCCTTAAGTACGGCTAGCCTGGCTGTCTACCCGTACTTAAACGGCTAGACTGGCTACTTATCTTAGGCCCTATTAACATTAGAAAACAGGAGGTTTAAAATACATGCACTGTCATTAAGGCACCTGGTTTCGTCTCAAATGCAAATACTTTAGGTACTGCGCACTAAAAATGTATATTTACAATTCAGTAGGCCTATTTTTTGTAAATGGTCAGTCTAGCCATCATATTAAGAATAAGTACGGCTAGTCTAGCCGTCATTAGTACGGCTAGCCTCTTCCTTATTTTAAAAAACTATCACTTTTTCCCTACAATTTTAAACAAGAACGAAGTAAATATGACCATATTTGACGAAAATACAGGACTTATTGTGCGAGGTGAGGAAATATGAAAAGGAGAAAATGGCCTTTGAAGTTGAGCAACTTGACATGTTTCCATAGCAATGGAGGTCTTAGAATTGAGATAGAGACTTGAAATTTAATAGTTATCTTGGCAATTTGACTGCAAGGTAAAATACAGAAATAGAATACTATTCATTAACAGAGGACAAAACAACATTTTCACGAGAATGAACTTCACATCAAATGCAACAAAATATTAGCATTATATACTAGGTGTCAGATACTAAATTTTCAAAGTAGCTGTATGTATGTCAAATGCATCTGTCAAGTGCACCAAACATCTCTACATTTACAGAGTACAATTATTATGACAAAGAAATGAAGCCTATTTTTTTTCAGACTGTGGGATCATTACAAATCAGTATTTTTTTGCCTCAAAATTAATGATCTGTCGTTAATTCAACAAAAAACACCGAGTGTTGTGCTGTTGAAGCTAGAGAGGTGAGCAGAGCAAGTCTGATTCCCTGTAAGGACTTCGCTGTTGATATTCACCCGTTGGCGCTCATATGACCTTATGCAGTTGCGAGCACCGCAATCTACTAAAAAAAAATAAAGTATTATGATAATATTTTCCAAGAGGACCACCTATCTAAGATGACTGCATTTCTTTTCGACAGTGAGTGGTAATTTTCGACAGGTTCCACTGTAAGGTTGAGAGAGGGAGAAGGAAAGTACAAGCAATATAATATACATTGTACACACATTTCAGTCTTTTAAGTTTACTGTTAATGTGGAAGGGGTCGCAATAAATAAGTCAGACACCATATTGTTTAAAAATAATTTGGAAATTTTCTAATTTAGAATCTCCTCTTTATGCATAAACTCGCCCTAAAAAGTCAAGGAACAAGTTGTGTTTTTACCTGTCAAATTTAAACTTCAATATCTCACAAACCCGTTAAGATCAGTCTACCAAACTTGGCACACGCACTGACAACTAGACACAGTTTGCCGGTACAGCAAATTTGCCCGCACCAGCTTCACAGCGACGGCGCAGGGCTTTCTGAAACAGCCGAAAATCATGAAAAATGGACTAAATTTCTTTACTTCAGCAACATTGGCATAGGGACTGTTTGCTAAAACTAAGCTTGGCACGTGCTAAACAGATGTCTTAGCTGTGAATTTTGCTCACTTACAACCCTTTATAAGCCAGCGTTTTTCAGCCATGTTTTATTACAACACGATGGTTCAACGACGCTTGCTGCCTGAAATCGACAGAGGACGAGCCCTTAGCTAGCTCCAAGATGGCTCCACGTTCCGAGTCGTTGTACATCGATTGGGGTGTCCCCATCAGTCATACAGAGGCTGCAAGAACGATGGCGACCGGAAGGGTCCAGAATAGGCCTCGACCAGGGCCGCCCTGTTGACCAACGACAGCATCGACTGGTTCATCGTCAGACAGGCCGTGACATCACGAACCACTACTGCAAATGGCATCAGGGACCAACTACGGGTCTCAGCCAATGTCCACGAGAGCGAGGAGACAGTGAGGAACCATATCCGTAGAGCAGGTTCGCTTGCCGGGCGTTGTCTGCTCGCCATTCACAGTGGACACAATTTCAGTGGGACCAGGTAGTCTTCTCGGACGAATCCAGATTCAGCCTGCTGCACCCAGACAGGCGAGCCCACTTCTGGAGGCACCGAGCAGAGTTGTTCCACCCTGAGTGCATCCAGCAGGTGGTGGCCTAGGGTGGAGGGTCTGTACTGGTGTGGGGAGGCTTCTCAGATCACCACAGGACCTCCTGTACCACATACAGGGCAATTTGACAGCGGCAAGGTACAGGGAGGAAATCCTGCGTCCCCTTGCTGTTCCTCTCCTGCAGCAGATTGGACCCCAGGCTGTACTGCAGGACGACAACGCCACGCCAAATGGCGCACGCATCATGGGGGACTTCCTGCAGCAGCAAGCTGTCGCCCGCATGGACTGACCAGCTTGTAGTCCAGATTTGAACCCAATAGAGAACATTTGGGATCACATTGACCGGTGGATAAGGAACAACCACCCTCCTGCTCTAAACCTTCAACAACTCTTGGGCTGCCTCGTCCAAGAGTGGCAGAACCTGCCGCAATAAGTTCTCCGAAGGCATGTCCTGTCCATGCATCGACACTTTGCCGAGTGTTTGGTCAAACGGAATGGCTACACACGCTATTGGCAATGTTCATGAAGAACTATGGCTGTTCAGACTTTTGAAATCCGACCAGTGTGACCAAATTCATTTTACATGAACTTCTCTTTGTTGTTGAAATCTGAAATTGTACACACTTAAACTAGAGAGTTGAAAGCATCTTTTTTTGAAAAAATGAATAAATTCTGTAAAACTTTTCTTGAGTTATCCTTCTTGGAATTTTTGTTCCTTGACTTTTTTGTGCGAGTTTTGAAGAAGTTAGTTAAAGATGTATGCTGGCATTTGCCTTGATGTAATTCCTCATTTAGTGAAAACACATGTGATATACTGTCGGATTCTTCAAGCTACTTGTTTGTGCATAGGTAGAGTAAACTGGCACATTGTGATATTGTTTGGGATGTAAAGGGTATATTTTTACATAGATATATTAAAAAGTTTGTTTATCCTCTCCTCTCACTTCAGCAATATTTGTACTTGGATAAGGTTGAAAGCTTGCCTTTTATGTCATTCTACAATTGATTTTAAAAATGTGTTTTTCTGTTGACTCGTCAAAGGTATATCTTTTGCACACACTCATAAAAGTAGAACTGGCTGGCTTCCAAATGGCAGTTAGTTGAATGATTGTTGACCTTGACTTACAGCTTGAACCCCAAGGAAAAAATACTAAAACTGATAGAGAAAAGACTTTTTCATTACAGTCCATGCCGGCTTTAAGCACGGTCATCGGGAGAAAGCTTAAGCGTGCTTAAAGCCGAAGTGTGCTTGAGTGCGAAGTAGACATAATCCAGAGATTTTCATGTAGAAAATTTCCCGTGCTATTTCCCTTTGTTTGTAAGTAGGCCTATAGCGGTCTCGCAAAAGTGTGCACTGGTATTTTTCCTCGCCATGGTAGTTCTTGTTTGCTTGTTTGTTTTTGTTTTGTGGTCGAATGGGAAATGAAAACTTAATTTAGACGGCCAGTCACGATACAGCACACTAGGCCTACACGCTGCCTGTGCGTACCACTACCCACTGTGCCACATTCATACCACCGCCTTCATCCCACCTCGCGCGTGATACACAATCAGGATTAATAGATAGTGAGGGTCAAAGGTGAAATTGCAGCCAGCCGCCCTTTCTCGTCTCCCCGACTCTTTTTCAACTCTTTGTATTTTTTAGTCTGTGTGTAACTTTGCCCAAGGCTAGATCCTTTGTCCACGGGCGCGGCTGTGTGGATCTCTCTGCCTTCCTCTCCGCCCATGTGTGTCTCCATCACTTGCGTTCTTTGTGTTTCTCTTAACACACTCCACTGCTGCAGTGTAGACTGTGTTCCAACTTCGATGGGTCATCATAAAAGTATTGACTGTCTTGTAATGAAGCGTGCTTGAAGCCAAAGTTACCGTGCTTAAAGGCGTGTAATTTATATAGCAAAAATTCGGTAAGCGCTGTTTAGCGTGCTTAAGTCTGAAACGTGCTTTAAGCCGGCGTGCTTATAGCCGGCACGGACTGTACCTTTTTTATCTTTATGCTGGGCCCACTTTTTCATGTAGCCTATAATGTGTGTTCTTTCTTTCCCCAGTTACCCGTTTCCCCTTTTGCTTTTCTTTCTTCCATTTTTTTTGTGTTTTTTAGAAAAAGAAATGAAAAGAGAAACTTGTTATTTAACCTGTCTTTCATTTTAAACACTTTTCTCAATTTACAGATCCTTGTTCGAGATGGAAAAGTCTTTTTTGAGCTTCCAGAAGTTGACTATCAAGTTAATCAACTCTTGATGCTCAAATGTGCAGAACGAGTTTTTGTAGCCATCAAAGATTATGACAACAAAAGTTTTCTAGCCAGTAAGTTGATCTAGTGCAGTTTTAATGCGTTGTTTTTGTTAGTCTCATGGGTCAAATTCCAATTCAGTCTGGGAAATGAGCTATGTGGGTTGTGCTGTTGGGACTGGTGCTCATTATATGTTATGTAGCCTACTGCTGGTTTCAAGTATTTGTCCACTCACACACATACTAGCAATCACGCACACACATACACACTCACATACAAAAATGCATGTGCGCGCGCACACACACACACACACACACACACACACACACACACACACACACACACACACACACACACACACACACACACACACTCACACACTTAACTTGCACGCACGCAAAAACATACTCAGGTGCACACACAATGCATGCACGCACACATACAAGCACACACATACACACACTATGAATACGAGCACACAAATATTTAAAATGTCCACCACCCAAAAATGCTGGAGTTGATACACTGAGGTGTCAGTTTTGGGGTTTTTGTTTTTTTTTCGTTTTTTTTAGGGGGGGAAAGGGGGGTTAGATTACTTAGTTTAAACATCTTCTGGACTGGAATAGATTACATATTTGAGATAATAAAGTCTAATTCAGAGTAAATGCTGATGTTGATGTATGCTTGAGAGAAGTTTATAAACACATTCTCATAGGCTCTTGCAGCAGTTCTCTTTCTTTTTTTTTAAAAGTCTTGTATGTATAAATTTACTATTTAGTTATATTGTTCGGGATGTAGAAGTAGAAGATATGTTTTTGACATATACATACACACATTTCTGCAAGTTGATATAGAATCTAATGTTTGATGACCCTCTCAATTTGCAGATAAAAGATGTTTCTTGGATAAACTGATGCAGGAACTCACATTGAGCATAAATTACACATTTGCACAAAAAGTGCTTCAACAGCTCTACTGTTGTCAGTTCTGTGGACAGAGGAAGGAGGTTGAGGAAAATGCCCCCAAGTCCGAAATAGAAGTTGGACTAAATGTTATAAAGAGATGCAGTACCGATGGAAGTGACTTTGAGGTGAAATTGAAAAAGATGAGAAAAGTGAGTTCATCTCATTGTACAGACTTGGTTGGGGATGGCAATGACTGTGAGTCCCTTGACGTTTCCAATGATCTCCCCTTGACCAAAAGTAGTGGACAGAGGGAACATGATGCCAGTTCCATCAGAAAAAATGAATGCGCTTCAAATGTAGATAGTGAACTGTCTCCAACTGTTGTTCAAGAGGGTGCCTGTGTCCTGAATAGAGTATGTGATGATGATGAGCTGAATGCTGATTCCCTGAGAGATGCTTTGCAGTGTGGGAAATGCCTTGGCAAAATAGATGGCGATTCAGATGGAGGAGACCTCACCTTTCGCATGTCCATTAAATGCTCAGGGAAAGTGAGAAGATGGATGGATATTGCGGTAAGCCCACTTTTTATTATTTACAGTTACCTTTGCTCTACATGACATATTGATGTAAGGGAACTTGCACTTGCTGAGTATACTTTTATTTAATACTGATGTATTTTTGTCTTCAAACTAAAAGGTAGGGGGGCTCACGTGGCCTAAAGGTAAGGTGTTGGCCTCTCATTCAAAGGTCCCAGGTTCGAATCCGGGTAGCGACCGAAAAAATTTTCTTCTCTAAAATTGTCTCCTTTCACCTCCTTTCCTGCTCTCTAGCAATATTCTGTCGTCTGCTGTCGTCCCCACCCCTCACCTCCTTTGCCCCCTTCTCTGGGCTCCTGACTCTTTCTGCAGCCTTTCTACTGCTACTCCTTGACTCCTTCTTACAGCTGTCTTTCTGCCACACCCCTGATCTTCTGGTAGGAAAGATCTACACCTAGCCTTCTCGGACAAGGGCGAAAAATCTCGGAGGGCCCGTGTGCAAGTTGCGCACGTTTAAGATCCCTTGGTGGTCTAAAATCGATAAGAGTAGGCTTTGGCCGCCACCCGGGCAAAATTCAAAATTTGTTACCAACTGAAAATATTAGGTGTGTCCCGCGCGCTCATATGACCTTATGCAGTTGCGAGCGGCGTAAAACACTTTTATAAAAAACCAAAAAAAACAAAAAAACTAAAAGGTAACAATTTTATTTCTATTTTAAGTTTCTAAACTATCCTCATGTTGACTAAAAGTTTATATGAATATAAATGAAAAGACAAGGTTCATTGAGAGTTATAATTGACATTTTATGACAGGGCATAGTTTGGGTAATTTAGTAACTAAAACTGCCCAGAAATATATAATATAGCAAAACTAATTTTCTTGAAAACGATAAATTGTTAGTACGTGTTGTTGATATCTGCGATTCCAGTTTTTACCCTCCATCACTAATTCTAGCTTACGGTTATTATTGTTTATATTGCTGCTCATTTATATTATGTGATTGTAAGCCTACGTGTGTGTGCGGGTGTGTGTGTGTGTGTGTGTGTGTGTGTGTGTCTGTCTGTGTGTGTGTGTGTGTGTACACGTGGTGAAACACCAAACCAATGTGCCAGGATCTGGACAATAAAGATGTATCTTATCCTATCTTATCTAAAAATGTTTGTCAGAAGGATTTTGCTTTGACTCTGACCCAGTTGTTTTATCATCCCTCAGAGGCTATCAAGAGATCTTGCATGGCGTGTCTCCAAGGCATCTGGCTGGTCTTCCAGACTTAAAAATCCTGCAGTTGAGGTAACTCCAGTGTTTTGTTTTTTGACAGTTCTGAATTAAAACTAAATAAAAGATTTCTTTCCTCTAATGCATGACTGCATGTTCAAGTGCCAGTATGTTGCATGCACAATCTTTTGAGTTTTAGGTCAGTTAGTATAATATAAATCAACTGATTCATTCTGAGAAAAGGATAGTTCTAGCTGATTTTGTCTTGAGCTTTTGTCGAAGTGTAGCAAGCAATGGAGAGTTCTCTATATTGTAAAGTTTAACACTTTATGCTCAAACCAAAATGCTGTTTTTTTTCCCGTATTTTACTCACTTACATATGCTGCATGGATTTTTCGAGTTTCTCACCATCAGTTTGACTGAATTACTAAATCAACTCATATCAAAGCAAAATATGGCTTTACTTTGTCTTTTTAATTGAAACTAGGATTTAGCTCACTCTTTTAAAAATTATTTCATGTTCTTTACAACTGCTATTTAAAGCATTCATTACAATGATTAATTTTTGTTTTTGTAGATCTCTAAAGTGCTATCATCATTTTGTGCTTTTATAGTATATGGAAAGTTTTTTTTTTCTTTAGATATAGATAGAATGATTCTCAAGGATCTTAAAATTGAAATGCTGGGAAGAATACTTAGATAAAGACAGAAGAAAAAGTAGCCTTTATGGCCTAAAGCTATTTTTTCGTTATGGTAGTCCAGTGGTTAGGTTGTCGAACTCGACAACAGTAAAGTTTACACACATTTTCCTCAGTAAACCAAAGTGAAAATGGTAGGCTATCTGGCTAAGATAATTATCTTGTCTGTACATGTGATGTTTAAGTGCTTGTAAAATGGCAGTTTTTTGCACTGAATGCTTCCTAGTAAGCTGTGAATGTTACAGACAGTAGTGTCTGTCAGGTTCAAGAATAGATTAATTGTAAAGTGTGTAGTCTTCTTTCAGGCAAGGATATAATATATATATAACTGGCTTTGTTTTATTCATTTTCGTTTCCTTTAGTTGTTATTGTTTGTAAGAGGTTTTTTTTTCTTTCTTTTTATTATAATAATGTGATGTCATTTTTCAGGTATGTGTCCATATCTCAGATGATCATATGACTGCTGGAGTCCCTCTGACAAAGTATGGGAATACAGTAGAGTCCGCTTAAACATAAACCATACATGGTTGATCTGAAAACAGCAGTAAACCGCTGAAAATAAAATCCTTGATTTCTTTTCTTCGATTTGAGCAACCTCTCTAACCTGAAAACCGGGCTAAAATGGAGAAAATTCGGCAGTTCCTCAGATTCGAGTTTAAGCGGATTTCACTGTAATTTTGCTTTTAAAGTTTCCATTTTCCTGTTTGGTTTTGGGCTTAAATGTGACTATATTTAATGTAATTGTCTGTAATTTCAATTAGCATAGTGTCCGTCTTTGTTTCAGACTGTCCCACATAAGTGACAGTATTCCAGTGCTTCTTGGCACTTCTGTTTTGTAGGTCTTGAAATTGTAAATTTTTCTGTTGGTTTATTTTTTTGGTTTGTTTGTTGTTTTTTTCTGTACATGTTTTGCACCCCATCAACACAATTTAGGTAATTTAGTTTTGGAGGTAGGACTCGACCCTGCCTATCTGGGCTGACCTGGGCTGAGAGGGATACAACATCCAAGCAGAAAGACTGAGATAGATGCTTGATTAAAATTCTCCCCACATGGAAATTGAGATATTCAAAGGCAAAGTGCCTGATAGTTACATCAAAGATACTGGTTGTAAGAATTTCTCTTACATTTCAATTTCAAGACCACATATTTTACCCTTATTTTTAACTTGGTTTTCTTATAATCTCTTGAACTGATTTTTATAATTTTTATCAATATTTTTATTTCCTGATAATTTTCTCGTTTTTTAGAAAAAATTACTTGTGTATGTCTACAGTCAAACCTCGTTATACTACCCACCTACCTCGGGATGAGCATAAAGTTGGTGGTACAGCAGGGCTCGCAGTATAATGGGATAACAGTGATTGCTATCTTGACTAGTTATAGACTGGTAGAGAGTAGAGACAAATTACGGCCAGTCTTGCCTCATCTTGATCTGTCATGCAGGGTTGCCATGCCCTTCCCCATGACTTTGACATTTCATTCCAGTCTTTAAAAAAAATTAATATTGGCCAAAGCCTCCAGTAAAGCATTTTCATAAAGTGCGAATTAGGAGCAAATCGATATCAAGTGCTAGAAGTAAGCCTATCTGGCAGAGATGTGCTTGTAAAAGAGATTATCAAACAGTTACGGAATGTGTTCAATGCACAGTGTGTAGTGTGTACCTCTGGTGACCAATTCGCTGGTGGTATAGTGGGGTTAATTTACGCTAGTTTAATAAAGACTGTACAACTCCAGACAGTTGGCGGAGGATGGTGTAGAGATGCAAATACTGTGTTTATATATACATAAAATGTGTTCCTTTTCATCCATTGACAAAACTTAGGAGTAAGTGAGTAAGTGGGGCTGGCCATATAATGGAGGGGGGGGGGGGGTTATAATGAGGTTTGAGTGTATTTAATTTAGGGAGATAACAAGACAATTATTTTTTGTATTGCATTCTCATAGTCAGTTTGACTTTGATTGATTGAAACTTTTGCAGTTTTCAGGGTTTTGGCTTAAGTTCTGGTTCTACATGGTATTGTAATTTGTTTGTCTTTTGGTTTCAGGCTTCCACTCTCCAAAAGATCATATATAACAGATCCAGGTTTGAGGGCTCCGGTTGCTTGGATCATGTGTCATCTCGCTGAAGTAAAAGTATACCAAGCAGTAATTATATTATAATATAAGTACATAATATGTGTCAGGGCGTGGTGGAATCAGGCACTCGTCAATTTTTGGGCATATGGGGTTATTGGTATTAGTATTATCTTAAAGCCTGTTCATTTGCCTTCTTTTGGGGGAAAAAAGTATCCATCTATGTTGAATAGAAGTAGAAATATTTGCGATTGAAGGAGGTCAGGTTCGCTTGGTTTCAGAGGTAAAATTAGTGAGAAAATGGTTGCCAAAGTTTGGTAACTTCCATTTCCATAGCCTGAGGATCCTTGGCAACAGAAAATTTACATTTTTTGTGCCTTTACTCAATGCTTTTCAGTAAGATCCACACAAAAATGTGTTTTTAAACGAACATAAAAGGTGTTGAGCCCAAAAAAACTCAGAAAAAAATTGCCCATAGGCCAAAAAATGCTGATTTATATGATTTCATTATTTTGACGAGTGCCTGATTTCACCACGATGCCTCACATATGGTTAAAACAACAAGATACAATTTGCCCGTGTTATGAGTATGAAAAGTGATATGCTGACAAAATGACTTACTTCTCGCAATCCGCAAATGGAGATATTCGCCTAAAACCAGATACTGGGGTCAAATTTGTCAATCCTCAACCAGTTCTATTTTCTTCAAGTTCGACATGTTTTTTAATCATTTTTATATATAATAAACAATCCTAATTCAACCTTTAAAGTGTCTAAAATTGATTCGTCTTAAGGCAATCTATCCCCAAAATGTGTCAGTTCGAGGAAAACTATGTTGGAAATACAAGTGGCTTTCTGATGGGCAAACGTGATTATCTGAGCCTCAACCCCTGACGCGTTTGGTATCGATATATGCCGGTTTTTGAAAGATGAAATAGTGGCTAGTGTCCCAAACAATATTCAAAATATATATAACGCATAAACAGATTGTATTTGACCTTGACTACAACACAATACATGATTGGCCCTGACTAGTCACATGACTGGTATTTTAAACTGCTTGAGCAATTTGACAGCAAATTATAGCCGAATTTAATCTCTTTATGTCCATATGGCCCAAATCCAAGAAGTAACCCATTTTGTCATCGCTCTTCACATATATAACCAATGGTGGAGTACCGTTGTTACAGTTTGAAACAAACTGCTTTATTTGAAAACATAGTGATTGATGTCGGAAAAAGAAGCAATTTTTATACAAAGTATTTAAAAGCATCAAAGAAAGGCTTTATAAATCACTTCGCTGTAAACTCCCTCTCTATGAATACTCATAAAGTCCTTATATTAAAAAGATTTAAGCACTTGATTGCTCGTCTAACTACATGTCTGTGGTTGTTGCATCCTCAGGGAAGCCACTGTGTCCTTGACCCCATGTGTGGGAAAGGTACTTTATTATTGGAAGCTTGCTCAGAAGTGAAGGTCAGCATTATTATTCCCCATGTTGTCTTTGACTTACTACATTACTGTTATCTTCAACCTGTTTATTATGAAAATGTGCTGTTTGAAGGTCCTTCTGCTGCAAGGATGTGTGTTGTCTTAATAAACACTTTGAACTTGATCATAAGTATTTTTCAATTAAATTCTTAATCTTATGAACAGAGAACTGATTCTCCTTCTGTTGGTAATTACGAAAGAACATTGCCATGACTCAGCTCAATTTTGTTTCAACTGTGATGGAATGTTAGGTCATATGAACCATCCCTTGAAAGTTTACTGAATGTTAAAAAAAATTGCTTAATGATCAAGGTAGGCCTATACTATTTTTCTTTGAGACATCTCAAAAAGAAAAAATGTAATGTTTTAGTTTTTGATTTTAAAGTAAGTTTAGTTTCTAATTTGGAGGTGCAACTAGAGCATAACATACAAAGAATAGAAGGAAAAATAAGGACATTAGATGCTTGATAACAAAGAAGAAGCAAACCTCCCCAGTGCACCCAGAAGTGGGACATTTAGGAAAGTCAGTTTCTGTGTTGCTTTCATGTACTCATATATAATTATGCATACATTGTTTGCCTTTCTGGTTTCATTGCAGGAGGCTGAGTATTTTGGTACTGACTTTGATTCGACACAGCTAACTACAGCAGCTATAAATGTGAAGAAAGCAGGTTTTGTCAACAATATTGAGCTGTTGTCTGCAAACAGTCATAGTAAGTAACAATATCTTTGTCAGAGCCCCGACACTGACAGAAGTTCACGCCCTTAGAATGACAAGGCTCTAATTTGATGATGCATAGTTTTGAGATAATGGGTTAAAAAGATTTTCTCTTATAGCTGAAATGTTCTTAAGCATCAAAATACAGGTTAGACTGTCTCTCAAGCCTTTGAAGCTGTACACAAGGCATCTATGTCAGTAATTTGTGGTAATTTAATTCTCAAAAAGTGGTTGAACACTATCATTCTGAGGGCATGAGTTATTGAAAAGTTGGGACTGGAAAACGACTGAATTATCAATAAATCATGTAATGGTTAGCAATGTGTTCCTG